CTGCCATACTTGGTGTTAATACTTTGTGGGTTTTTCATCTGTGAATGTAGCAGGTTGGTCTGTTTTAGGATAACCCCAAGAATAGGCCTAAATACTTCCATGTTGTTTTGTCAAGCTTCTAAGGGATTACAAAGACCAGTAGACAAGTCAGGCATTGCGCTGCTCCTAAAAGCAATGCTTTCTTCTTGGTGCCCACTCTCCTTTCTCTGCATTTCATTCACCAAATAAAGAATTCCAGTTAAGAAAGAGTCATCAAGAAGAAGGAAAAGATTGTTAGCAACCAGGATGACTCAAGGCTGTGTACTGGCTTGTGTACAGGGGAATACAAGGTTCTACTCTGTATACCATCTAGCAAAATGCCACAAGAATGTATCCTAATTTTACTTAAGATGATTTTAGAAAGGCATTTCTACTTCCCAAAGCAAAATCCTTTTTCCTGTAACTGAAGTAGGAGAGGTTACATCTCAAGTTTTCCCTAAATATTCTTCATTTAGAGGGAATAATGATAAAAACAACATCAATAACATTTATAGAACACTTACTATAAACTGTCAGTTTAACCCTATTATTATCCCTGCTTTACACATGAAAAAACTGAAGCACCGAGAGGCTCAGTAACTTGCCTAGGTTCACACAGCTGGTAAGAATTGGAAGAATAGGAAGACTCCAGAGCCCAGGCTCTCAACTACCTAATTAAGAAATTGTGCTGTTGCTTAATTCAGTGTTATGACAAAAACATTTTTACTGCGAATTTAAAATATATAAGTACTCAAAGTAGGTGTTTATGCAAATGTAAACAGCACATTGTAAAACCATAATACCATATTTTCTCAAAAAAGATTGCGTTTTACATGCCCATTTTATCCCACGAACAAGGTCTTGATTTTTCCTTTGAAATGAGGAGGAGTAACATTTGATTTTGCTAGGGAACTGTTAAAATTATTTTGAGGTTCCAGTCGTGCATAGCATAGAGATTCATGACAAATATGTAATCTGTTTGTCACCCAACTTGGATAACTTCCAAATGTTTCCTCTTTGTAGCTCTTGATTTTGTTTGGATTGTTTTCAATGGCCAAATAGTCAAAAAACAATGTCTGAATCACGTTCGCTCCAGTCAGGGAATACCAACATGTTGAAAGACAGCTTTGGTTATTTAGAATCCCACTATTTCACTTGCGACTTTGAAGAACATTCATGCTTTAGTGGACTGGATTTTTAAAAAAAGAAGGAGGAGGAGAGGGAGGAGAAGAAAAAAAATCGAGTTGTGGCTCAAGTATCTCTGCCATTTGCTGCAGTGAGTTTTCCTATTCCATTTTGCTGGGGAGAAAGCATGCTTAACAGATCAAATCAAACTGTCCGAAAAAGGCTGTCTGCATCCCTCATGTTTAAAAGAGAAGGATTTCGTTCCCCTTCTTTCACACATCAAAGAAGGCACTCCGGGAGGAAATAAACCATAATTAGGCCTGAGCTAGCAGACAGACCCCCTTCCTCTGCCCTCCCCATCCCCGCCCCCCAGGCCCTGGCAGCCGTCCTGGGCGCGAGCGAGGAGCGGGTCACCGCAGCAGCTGCAACGAGCGCGCGTTCACGGTCGCGCCCGCCGCCAGGATCTGGGCGGCGGCGGGGCTAGCCCAGGGGCGCGCTCGCTCTGGAGCGCGCTCATGCAGCGGTTTTCTTCTCCCACAATCCAGAGGCAGGGCCGCGGGAGGGGCGGGGAGCCGGCGGAAGGATATTGGCGCGGAGGGAGCAGCGCGCTCCCTTTGACGGCGGGCTGGCGGCGCCGGTGGGCGGTGAGCGGTGGGGTGTGATGCGGCACTGCGGTTCTGAGGCCGTTACTCCGGCTCCTCCAGATAGGGCGGAGGAGGAGGCTGGAGCGCGGCGGTGATTTTTGTGCCAGGGCTTCCCAGAGGCGCGCTGAAAAGGCTGGCGGGGCTCAAGAAGCTAGGGGGTTAGGGACACACATTCAGGCCCCCACCCCCTGGGAGGGGAAGGGGGCTGGAGCAAGGCTGAGGGCTGCGGAGGGATGGTGCCTGGTCGGGGGAAAGGGGCGATCCCTGCCTGTCGGTGGTGAGGGGCTGCGGGCAGGGGAGGCTCCGCGGGTCGTAGGGGCTCCCTGCCCATTGGTGGGTGGAACGTGTAGAGCGGAACGCAAGGTTGAGCCTGGCGGCCCCTCGGAATCCTGAACGTGGTATCTAACGTGGTGTTTCATTTAGCCCACGTTGGGATTAATTCATTGGGGGCAGTTTCTGTGGTCTGGCTCCTCCAGGAGCTGGGCAACCTTGACGGGCTTTTTGTCTTGTGCTCCAGCCCCTTTTCCCTTCCTCCTCCTCCAGATGCCTTTTCTCTGCCACTCCTCGCCCGGTACAGACATTTCCAGTGAAGGCTGCCGCTCGTGGTGGCCGTCGAAGCCACTTCTCGGGATTTCGGCTGGTTTCCCTCTGGGGTGTTTTTTGAGGAGAAAGAGTTTTCCCCTCCTCCACGATGGGTTTTTCCTCCCTTGCCAAAATGGACTTTCATTGATTTCTACTTAATTCTTCAACGTTTAGTGACCAATTCCCTAGGCGTATTTTTGTGGTAGTTCCTTTTTTCAAATACATAGTCTGTAAAATGGAGAACGAGGTTTTTACTCCCCTTCTGGAGCAGTTCATGACCAGCCCCTTGGTCACTTGGGTAAGTGGGTGTCCTTTATTGTATATTTTGCTGCATTATTTGTGGCTGCAGAGATGAAGAGGGGCGTTCATGTCGTGATGATCCTTCTGTTCTAGGTTAAAACGTTTGGACCTCTGGCTGCAGGAAATGGGACCAACCTGGATGAATATGTGGCTTTGGTGGATGGGGTATTCTTGAACCAGGTCATGCTCCAAATGTAAGTTCTTTCTTTTCTAGGTAACTTGTTTTCTTTTAAAAATAGCATGCGGTGAACTTTGAGACATTACGTTTTAAGCCCCTAATTTGTTTTTTTTGGCCAGAAAAATTCAGGTGTTTTAAGAATTGGATCTTGAAAGGAATAATAATCTTACATGCCCAGCCCATTTATCACAACCCAGTAATTTTACCTGTTAAAATCGTGAAACTTTAATGTTTTTTTCTGCCAACTGTGTATTGTTACTTATTGTCTTCAGTGCTGAAATCCAAACCACATTGTGTCTTCTTTGATAATTTGGTAAAATAAGAGAGAATGAGAAATCTGGTTTCCTCAGAGGAGAAAAAAGACGTTTCTGTGAAGTTATGTGCATTTGATGCAGAAATGTTTTTTTTTTATTAACCTTTGTATCTGAAAATAAATGGCTTAAATTCTGAAACAGATTTCAGGAGAGTATTTCGAACAACAGTTCTGATTGATGAGGACTCTTGCTGTAGCAAGTAATTTAAATGCCTATAATAACTGAAGTCTAATTAGATGATCTATTGTGTCAATTATTAGATTGCTTAATGTTTTAGGGATCATTTTAAGGTCTTCATAGAAGTTTTAAAATGCAAGTAAGTGGAGTCTTGGTGACAACTAGATGATTTAGTAGGCAAATCTTTGTCTTTTATGTTTATAATACTGGGTTTGTATTAAGTTGGAAAGTATGTTTTTGAGATGGAAATTGAATATTGAAGGCATATTAGCTGGATTAGTAAAAAACTCCATTTTTATTATTACAGGTAGCATACTTGCATTCTAAGTACTTATATTAAAGTTATCAAACTGAATATTTCAGTTGTGCTCAATATAATGTGTATTTAGCCTTATTTCTCTTGAATAGAATCTGATTACAAGAGTGGTTTGGAACTTTTGATTTGAAGACCGTCTTATCTTTTATATGTGTGGAAAATTAGTACATTATTAATAAGTAGTTGCTACTAGAGAATAAGTCTCCTATTCTGCTCTGATAATCTTACATATAAAATATCATTTTTGTATTTTATTCGAAATTATTTTTCTGTTTAAAAGAGGGTAGAAGTCGAATCCTTAAATAACTGTTCCAGTGTTAACTTCTCTGTGTGCTCAAAGACATCTGTAGTCTCTATGCTCAAAGAGATTTGTGTGCTGTTTTTCATGTGTGCGTTGATCCTGCTGGGAAGTATTATTATACTACTATACATTTTCTAAACCGTTTTATTTGCATAGGCACCCAAAGAAATGTATGTTATTTAAATGCATATATATTTTTTTCCTTAAGAAAGGAAAAAAGAGTATAGACATTAATTTTCCAGGGTTAGTAAATGTATTTTTGACAGCTGTACCATGGAATTGTTTTTTATCTTTGAAATATCCCACTATTTCCTAAGCAAAAATGTAGCATAATTAAACTGATTTCTATTTTAGGGAACCCACATGACAGGAAGTGTAGCCATTAGAGTAGATACTCAGAACTTGTTCTCTTGTATCTTTTCAGTTGCTTGTTTTTAGACAGAAAATTTTGAATTTGTGTGCTAAAAAATAGGTGTGTTCACAAAAGTAGGAAAGTATATTACTTTAGTTTTCTACTTTAATGGTTTTTACTTGCATGATTCTTTTTCCAAAAAAGTTTAGATTTTTTTCAAGTTCTAAGTAGTTAGTTGAGGTGCTAAAAACACGTTAGTCTGTTTCCACTTTGAATACAGTTTTATATTTAAAATATATATATAAATATATTTTGAAAATTATGGTGTTCCAAAATAGACACATCAAAGAAGGCACTCCGGGAGGAAATAAACCATAATTAGGCCTGAGCTAGCAGACAGACCCCCTTCCTCTGCCCTCCCCATCCCCGCCCCCCAGGCCCTGGCAGCCGTCCTGGGCGCGAGCGAGGAGCGGGTCACCGCAGCAGCTGCAACGAGCGCGCGTTCACGGTCGCGCCCGCCGCCAGGATCTGGGCGGCGGCGGGGCTAGCCCAGGGGCGCGCTCGCTCTGGAGCGCGCTCATGCAGCGGTTTCCTTCTCCCACAATCCAGAGGCAGGGCCGCGGGAGGGGCGGGGAGCCGGCGGAAGGATATTGGCGCGGAGGGAGCAGCGCGCTCCCTTTGACGGCGGGCTGGCGGCGCCGGTGGGCGGTGAGCGGTGGGGTGTGATGCGGCACTGCGGTTCTGAGGCCGTTACTCCGGCTCCTCCAGATAGGGCGGAGGAGGAGGCTGGAGCGCGGCGGTGATTTTTGTGCCAGGGCTTCCCAGAGGCGCGCTGAAAAGGCTGGCGGGGCTCAAGAAGCTAGGGGGTTAGGGACACACATTCAGGCCCCCACCCCCTGGGAGGGGAAGGGGGCTGGAGCAAGGCTGAGGGCTGCGGAGGGATGGTGCCTGGTCGGGGGAAAGGGGCGATCCCTGCCTGTCGGTGGTGAGGGGCTGCGGGCAGGGGAGGCTCCGCGGGTCGTAGGGGCTCCCTGCCCATTGGTGGGTGGAACGTGTAGAGCGGAACGCAAGGTTGAGCCTGGCGGCCCCTCGGAATCCTGAACGTGGTATCTAACGTGGTGTTTCATTTAGCCCACGTTGGGATTAATTCATTGGGGGCAGTTTCTGTGGTCTGGCTCCTCCAGGAGCTGGGCAACCTTGACGGGCTTTTTGTCTTGTGCTCCAGCCCCTTTTCCCTTCCTCCTCCTCCAGATGCCTTTTCTCTGCCACTCCTCGCCCGGTACAGACATTTCCAGTGAAGGCTGCCGCTCGTGGTGGCCGTCGAAGCCACTTCTCGGGATTTCGGCTGGTTTCCCTCTGGGGTGTTTTTTGAGGAGAAAGAGTTTTCCCCTCCTCCACGATGGGTTTTTCCTCCCTTGCCAAAATGGACTTTCATTGATTTCTACTTAATTCTTCAACGTTTAGTGACCAATTCCCTAGGCGTATTTTTGTGGTAGTTCCTTTTTTCAAATACATAGTCTGTAAAATGGAGAACGAGGTTTTTACTCCCCTTCTGGAGCAGTTCATGACCAGCCCCTTGGTCACTTGGGTAAGTGGGTGTCCTTTATTGTATATTTTGCTGCATTATTTGTGGCTGCAGAGATGAAGAGGGGCGTTCATGTCGTGATGATCCTTCTGTTCTAGGTTAAAACGTTTGGACCTCTGGCTGCAGGAAATGGGACCAACCTGGATGAATATGTGGCTTTGGTGGATGGGGTATTCTTGAACCAGGTCATGCTCCAAATGTAAGTTCTTTCTTTTCTAGGTAACTTGTTTTCTTTTAAAAATAGCATGCGGTGAACTTTGAGACATTACGTTTTAAGCCCCTAATTTGTTTTTTTTGGCCAGAAAAATTCAGGTGTTTTAAGAATTGGATCTTGAAAGGAATAATAATCTTACATGCCCAGCCCATTTATCACAACCCAGTAATTTTACCTGTTAAAATCGTGAAACTTTAATGTTTTTTTCTGCCAACTGTGTATTGTTACTTATTGTCTTCAGTGCTGAAATCCAAACCACATTGTGTCTTCTTTGATAATTTGGTAAAATAAGAGAGAATGAGAAATCTGGTTTCCTCAGAGGAGAAAAAAGACGTTTCTGTGAAGTTATGTGCATTTGATGCAGAAATGTTTTTTTTTATTAACCTTTGTATCTGAAAATAAATGGCTTAAATTCTGAAACAGATTTCAGGAGAGTATTTCGAACAACAGTTCTGATTGATGAGGACTCTTGCTGTAGCAAGTAATTTAAATGCCTATAATAACTGAAGTCTAATTAGATGATCTATTGTGTCAATTATTAGATTGCTTAATGTTTTAGGGATCATTTTAAGGTCTTCATAGAAGTTTTAAAATGCAAGTAAGTGGAGTCTTGGTGACAACTAGATGATTTAGTAGGCAAATCTTTGTCTTTTATGTTTATAATACTGGGTTTGTATTAAGTTGGAAAGTATGTTTTTGAGATGGAAATTGAATATTGAAGGCATATTAGCTGGATTAGTAAAAAACTCCATTTTTATTATTACAGGTAGCATACTTGCATTCTAAGTACTTATATTAAAGTTATCAAACTGAATATTTCAGTTGTGCTCAATATAATGTGTATTTAGCCTTATTTCTCTTGAATAGAATCTGATTACAAGAGTGGTTTGGAACTTTTGATTTGAAGACCGTCTTATCTTTTATATGTGTGGAAAATTAGTACATTATTAATAAGTAGTTGCTACTAGAGAATAAGTCTCCTATTCTGCTCTGATAATCTTACATATAAAATATCATTTTTGTATTTTATTCGAAATTATTTTTCTGTTTAAAAGAGGGTAGAAGTCGAATCCTTAAATAACTGTTCCAGTGTTAACTTCTCTGTGTGCTCAAAGACATCTGTAGTCTCTATGCTCAAAGAGATTTGTGTGCTGTTTTTCATGTGTGCGTTGATCCTACTGGGAAGTATTATTATACTACTATACATTTTCTAAACCGTTTTATTTGCATAGGCACCCAAAGAAATGTATGTTATTTAAATGCATATATATTTTTTTCCTTAAGAAAGGAAAAAAGAGTATAGACATTAATTTTCCAGGGTTAGTAAATGTATTTTTGACAGCTGTACCATGGAATTGTTTTTTATCTTTGAAATATCCCACTATTTCCTAAGCAAAAATGTAGCATAATTAAACTGATTTCTATTTTAGGGAACCCACATGACAGGAAGTGTAGCCATTAGAGTAGATACTCAGAACTTGTTCTCTTGTATCTTTTCAGTTGCTTGTTTTTAGACAGAAAATTTTGAATTTGTGTGCTAAAAAATAGGTGTGTTCACAAAAGTAGGAAAGTATATTACTTTAGTTTTCTACTTTAATGGTTTTTACTTGCATGATTCTTTTTCCAAAAAAGTTTAGATTTTTTTCAAGTTCTAAGTAGTTAGTTGAGGTGCTAAAAACACGTTAGTCTGTTTCCACTTTGAATACAGTTTTATATTTAAAATATATATATAAATATATTTTGAAAATTATGGTGTTCCAAAATAGTGGTTGCCAGGTTGTTTTTTTGGGGGAAGGCTTGCTCCTTTCTAAACCTCAAATCTGCTTCTGTATTTTCAGTTCCACCTCCCAGTTTCTTTAGAAGTTTTTTCAGTGTCCCAATTCTGTTCTGAATGACCTATATAAATTAAAGGGAAAAAAGAAGTATGTTTTTGCCTTTTTTAAAAAATAATTTGCCAAAATAAGATCAACAAATTTATTTTAATAATTATCTGATAGAGCAACAGAATATACATTGTTTTAAAAGTTATATTTTGCTAATTTTGAAATCATTAGGATTTCTTTTAAGTACTTTACTCAGGTTAATGTGTGATTTAGTGTATTCTAGTAAAGTGTCAGTTGTAACTCTGTACCCAGTAAGGTTAGCCTAAAGGTTAGCCTTAGTCTAAATTCTAGATTACATTTAGTATAGAATTTGTGAGCAAGAACCCTTTGAAACCGTTTATATATTTTTCTTCATGTTTCTTGTCCTTGAAGTTCCATGAGCTTCTTACATCTGTGGGTTTGTAGTTTTTATCCGATTTGGAAAATTTTCAGCCATTATTTCTACAAATGTGTATGTATGTATATGTATTTGTCTTTCCTCCTTTTGGAAGTCCAGTTACATGTATATTAGGCTGCTTGGCATCTGAAAACTTACTGATGTTCAATTCAGTTTTTTTAGTCTTTTTCTTTGTTTCATTTTGGATAGTCTATTTCAATGTCTCCAAATTCATTAATCTTTTCTTCTGTACTGTTTAATCTGCTCTTAATTCCAACCAGCACATTTTTCATTTCAGACATTATAGATTTATCTCTGGAATTGTCTTTTATATCTTCCATGTCTGTATTTTTCATGCTCTTATCTTTTCTCTAGCTTCCTGGACATATACAGTGCAGTTATAATTGGCTCAATGTCCATATCTGCTAATTCTATCTGTGTCATTTTTGGGTTGATTTTGAGTGATTGATATTTCTCCCCATTGTAGATTGTGTTTTCTTGCTTCTGAATGCCTGGTAAATTTTTATTTGATGCCAGATATTTGAAATTTTACCTTGTTGGCTGCTGGATATTTTTGTATTCCATTAAATACAAAAATCTTGAGCTTTGCTCTGGGATGCATTAAATTACTTGAACACTGTTTGATCTTCTGGGGACTTGCTTTTAAGTTCTGTTAGACAGTACCACTTTGTCTCAATATTGAGGCAAAACCCTTCTGAATACTCTGCCTGGTGGGAACAGGCACTCTTTGGTGTTTCCTCTAATCCTTTTTGGTGGTTCTTTTCATTGTTTTTGGGTAGTTTCCTCACACTGTGAACTGATAAATACTCCGCTGAAGACTTGAGGGATACCCCTTGCAGATCTTTCTGTGTAGCTCTCTCCTCTCAGGTACTCTGCTCTGTGTACTTTAGCCACCTTGCTGTCTTTAGACGCAATTCTGTCTCCTTAACTTCAGGAGACCACTGTGCTCTGCCTGGGTTCCCCCCTCCCTGTTCTGTGGCTTGGAAGCTTTTTCAAGGCAGTAAGCTGGAACAGTTGTTGGACTCATGCTTGTTTCCCATCTATCAGGGATTCGCTGTCCTTTGTTGCCTTATGTCCATTTTGTCTTTTTTTCCCCTCCAATTGTTTCAGTCAGGAGGGTAATTTGGTCTCTGTTATTCTATCTTGGCCGGCAGTGGAAATCTGTTTATATATTTTCTTTGTTGTTTTAGAGATGGGGGTCTCACTATGTTGCCCAGGCTGAAGTGCAGTGGCTATTTACAGGTGTGATCATAGTGCACTGCAGCCTCAAATGCTTGGCCTCAAGCGATCCTTCTACCTCTCCTTCCAGAGTAGCTGGACTAATGGGCACTTGCCTCTGTACCTGGCTGTTTATATGCTTGTAATTACATTTATCCCTGTTAGTTTAATATTAGTGCTTTTACATATGACATAGACTTTTCTTATAGGAGCCTTATTATAGAATTTTTTCACCTGAAGTGTTTCTTAAGAATAAGGAAATTGATTAATTTAGTGACTCTGGTGTTGCCATTTTGGACCCAGACTCCTTGAAAATGAAGACTTGACTTCATGACACTGTTTACTAACTGATTCTGCCTTACAATTTTGGAGTCTGTTAACTGACTTGGGATTCACTGTATGCACACATGAACCCTGGATTTCATTGAGTAGCTCCTTGAATCAAAGAATCTCTGTAAGAACTTGTAACATGGCATCAGTCATCTTTAACTGATGGGAAGAGGGAAGCTGTTTAGAGATATAGAATGACGGGCTAGCTCTTCTGCATGCCGCAGGGCATTTTCCTATTTCAACAGAATGAAATATTTTTCTTCAGTGTTATCAGGCTTGGGGTTTTGTGGCAGTGAAGTAGAAATAATTATTTTCCTGTTTGACATGTCATTCAGTTCTGTAGGCAATTTTGAATATTACTTCCTACAAGTTTTTAGGGAATTTATGACATTGTAGTTAATTTCATAATCATAAAATTTTAAAAGTGTGCTATTCATATTACCTAAACAGTTGAAAATATGGATACGTTAGGATTTTAAGTGCTGAGAAAATTTTAGTAATGTCAGAACAATATTTAGAATTACTCTCTAGGATTCAGCCCCATTAGATAGCTATAGAAATCTATACTTGGGACACTTGGTAATTATGAAATACTTGTTACGGCTTTTCTTCTCCTTTTAGAATCTTGAGTTTGAAGGGACTTCAGAAGTCATCTATGAAAATCCTTTTTAATTAAAGCCCTGACACATGATTATCCAACTTTTGCTTTAAGTATTTCTTAAGAATCAGCTTCATAAAGTGTACCTAAAGAAGCCATTTATTTTATAGAGGAAGTTAACTGAGAAATGTCCCTTTGTCCTATCAATGCTTAAGATTTCAAAAATAGCTTGTGCTAATGTTATGACTATAATAACCCTAAAATGAGGCCTGGCACGTTTACTCATGCCTATAATCGTAGCACTCTGGGAGCCGAGGTGGGAGGATTGCTTGAGCTCAGGAGTTTGAGACCAGCCTGAGCAAGAGTGAGACCCCGTCTCTACTAAATACAGAAAAATTAGCCAGGTGTCCTGGGGCGTGCCTGTAATCCCAGCTACTTGGGAGGCTGAGGCAATAGGATCGCTTGAGCCCAGGAGTTTGAGATTGCAGTGAGCTACGTACGATGACACCATTGCACTCTACCTAGGGTGACAGAGCAAGACTCTATCTCAAAAAACAAATAAAAAACCCCCTAAAATGACTCAAATAGATAGGCTTTCTTACTAAGTATGGCATTGACTCTTTTGATATGGTTACTCTCAACTTTTCTCCCTGGGCCTCACGGTGTCTGTTGAGTTTTGTTTGTATTGCTTGTTTAAAAACACACTCATTATGTAGTCAGCATTGCTATCTTATTACCAGGTTCTGTGATGCACCTTCTATATTTTTCAGATATGTCCCGACTCTTGGATTAATGCAATAGCTCCTGATGGGTCTTCTTACCTTTGGGCTTGTCCCCCTTCAGGTTTTCTTTCTATCTATGATCATATAAAACTTTCTGATGTAATGTGGATGTTTGTCCCCTCCAGATCTCATGCTGAAATTTGATCCCCAGTGTTGGAGGTGGGACCTGGCTGGAGGTGCTTGGGGGGAGGTGCTTAGAGGAAGGGGACAGATCCCACATGAATGGCTTGCTGACCTCCCCAAGGTGATGAGTGCCTACTCTATTTGTCTCTGTGAAAGCTAGTTGTTTAAAAGAACCTGGCACCGCCTCCTCTCTGTCTTGCTCCCTCTCTCACCATGTGACATACCTGCTCCCCCTTTCAGCATGAGTGTAAGCTTCCTGAGGCCCTCACCAGAAGCAGATGCTGGCCCATACTTATTAGGCAAAATGGACTAAGATACTTTCTAAATCACAGGTTTTATCATGTCACTCCTTTCTTTAAAATGGTTCAATAGCTTTCTACTGCCTTCAGGGTGAACACATTGCTTACATACTCACACTCCTTTGTGATCTGACTGCTGCCTCCTCCTCTAGTTTAGTACTACTCCTCAATGCACAGTGTAAGATTGAGCAAACTTGTAGTTCCCAAGGACAAGCTACGTTCTCATGTCTCTGTGCCTTTCCATACACTCTTCCCTTCCCTAGAATACTTTTCCAGCTCCTCACTGTTGCTTTCTTTAACTGACTCCTACTTACCTTCATTCCTCCTCTGCCATTACCTGGCTCATCCTAGGATACATAGTCCTTCTTTTGCTTCTACAGGACCCTGTATGTACTTTGATGATAGCCTTTATCTCTCTTTATTACAGTTCTTGGTTTGCTTGACTCTACTGACTAGCCTGTGAGTTTCCTGAAGCCAAAGACTGTATCTTTCATCTCTGTATTCCTAACACAGTGCTTGACATGCAGTGGGTTCTTGATATGTTTTTGTTGAATGAATAGTAGAGAGGTATGTAGTAAAGTGGAATGAATTTGGGCTTTGAGTCAGACAGACTTGGGTTAGCTGTGCTATTTAATAGTGCTGCTTATTAGCTTCTGTCTCCAAATCTCAGTGCATACATTTATAAGATGGGAGATAATGTTTCCTGGTTGGGGTGGAAGGATTAGACATAATCTCTACTAAGGCAGGGACAGATGTGTCTATTTTCTGTTCTGTTGACCACTATATCCCCATTGCTGGTTGCTGTCATTATTGTCCTGTGCTATATCATACTTACTTATTTATGGTTCCTCAAATAAATCATGATCATTCACAGCTTAGTTTTGTGTGATCTCTGTTGGTGTCAACTCTGTATAGCTGTTTGATCTTTAGCAAGTTACTTCTCAGTTTCTTTATAAACTGGGGATAAAAAGAATCACAGAGTTATTACGAGAATCAAATAGGATAATTTATGTACAGTGCTTAGCATATGGTAAATATTCAATACATGTTAGCTCCTAATATCTTTATTGTTTTATTTCTATAATTATAATCATTTCCCCTAGGCTGTCCTTCTCCCTTTGTTTGCCTAGCAAATGTCTATTCATCCTTTAACACCCTGTGAAGGCCTCTGGTGGAGTTAATTGCTTTCTTTCCTATGATCCTGTAGTAACTTTACCAAAGTAGCTGCCACTCTAGATTTTGATTTTGAGAGGCTAGATATTTTGTCTTACAAATTACCAGCACCTAGTGTAGTACCTTAGCATGTATCACCAGCACCTAGCATAGGAGTTGGCATGTCATAACTTTTCAGTAAATGTTGAAGGAATGAAGACATTCTAAAATCTGATTAATTTTCAAAAATTTGAGGCCGGGCGTGGTGGCTCACGCCTGTAATCCTAGCTCTCTGGGAGGCCGAGGTGGGCGGATTGTTTGAGCTCAGGAGTTCGAAACCAGCCTGAGCAAGAGCGAGACGCCGTCTCTACTAAAAATAGAAAGAAATTAATCGGACAACTAAAAATACATAGAAAAAATTAGCCAGGCATGGTGGTGCATGCCTGTAGTCCCAGCTACTTGGGAGGCTGAGGCAGAAAGATTGCTTGAGCCCAGGAGTTTGAGGTTGCTGCGAGCTAGGCTGACGCCACGGCACTCTAGCCCGGGCAACACAGTGAGACTTTGTCTCAAAAAAAAAAAAAAAAAAATTTGAGAATCTCCTCCAGTTATTTATTTAATTTTTTTAGAGACAGGGTTGTTCTGTTGCCTAGGCTGGAGTGCAGTGGTGCTGTCACAGCTCACTGCAGCCTTTATTAAGTGATCCTGCCACCTCAGCCTCCTGAGTAGCTAGGATTACAGGCTTGTACCACCATGCCTGGCTGATTTTTCAAAGGTTTTTTTTTTTTTAAAGGCAGGGTCTGGCTATATTGCTCAGGTTTGTCTTGTCTTGAATTCCTGGCCTCAAGCGATCCTCCCATCTCAGCCTCCCAAAGTGCTGGGAATATAGACATGAGCCACTGCACCTGGCCCCAGCTACTGTGGTCACCCTCCACTCTAATTTTAGTACTGTAAAATTTAGTTTGTTTTATTTTTTAGTTTGTCTTCTATTTCTCCTTTTCTTTTGTTCCCTCTTTTTCCTTATTTTAATTGCCTTTATTGATATTTTCCCTACATACCTATGTTATGTCCCCCTTGCAGTGAGGTGGTAAGAACATGTCCATGGTTTTGTATAGTATTACTATAGTATATATTGTACTATGTAGTATGTAATATATAGTAATATATAGCGTGTATATAGTATGCAATATAGTATATACAATACTATATTACATCATCAGGAAAGTTACTTCTAATAACTTTCCTGATGATGTCCAATATATTGAAATTTTTGTCTACAGCTTCACATTGGACTGATGCCTTCAAGAGCAGTCCATAATGATTGCCTGATTCTCAGCGTGACTCATATTTAAACTGTAGAAATAATGAGAACCTAGAGAAGAACAGGTGAACTAGTTGTTATAGATGACAATATTTTTGAAATTTTTTGGAAATTTTCTCTTAATATGAGTGAATTTTTCTTTAGTATGAAGGGGTGGGAGGTTGTGAGGAAGGGTGCTCCGTTACCTTGTTTGTTTTTGTTGAGACAGAGTCTTACTCTGCCGCCTTGGGTAGAGTACAGCGATGTCACTGTAGCTCACCTTAGCCTCCAACTCCTGGGCTGTAAGTGTTCCTTCTGCCTCAGCTTCCCAAGTAGCTAGGACTTCAGGTGCCACCGCAAAGCCGGGCAGCTTTTTTTTTTTTTCCCCCTTTCTTTATGGTAAAGACAGGGTCTCACTCTTGGGCTGGGTTTTTTTTTTTCCCCCTTTCTTCTTGGTAAAGACAGGGTCTCACTCATGCTCAGGCTAGTCTTGAGCTCAAAAAATCTTCCTGCCTTGGCCTCCCAGAGTGCTAAGATTATAGGTGTGAACTACCGCGCCTGGCCTTAATATGCATTAGTTATGGGAAACTAGTTGTCACAGGATAGATGGAAAGGAAGACCAGTTTTTAACTGTACTCTTTCAGAAAGACACCAATTGACTTTCTTTTAGGATCCGTGAAGCAGTTAGGTATAAAGTTACAATATTTAGAAATAATATTTGAGATTTTAATTGATATTGAGACATCTGTCTAATTTGTAAACTAGTTCTTTTAGTTATTTTTAATTTTCTTCTTTTTTTTTTCTTTTTATGACCCCCTCTAACATGGTATAAACTAATTGTTTTTAAATCCAGTGTGGTGTAGAGACAAAAAGCATGGGCTTGAGATACAGAAGTTTAAATTCTGGATTAGTCATTTAATGTTGTAAGTCACGAGTTATTGAAATTGGAAAATAATCTTAAATGTCCTATTTATTCCTGATTTTATTCCTATGTTCTCTTAGCCCTATTTTACTAATTTAATAGTTAATAAAACTAGGTTGATAAAACCTCATCAGCTTTACTTTGAGTGAGAGAGAGGAAGTCTTCCCCTAACATTTGTGAGACCTAGGGCAAGCATTCATTTAGTACAACAGGCCTTAATATTTAAAGGTTATAAACTAGGCTAACACATCATTAAACATGTTCTAGTCTTTTATCTTGAAAAATATACCTTCATAATAACTTGAAAGGTTGCAATTTAGAATTTATGGATAAATAATGACAGCAACCAGCACTAGGTGTATAGGGGTCAACAAAACAGAAAATAGTCACAGTTTCACAGCAGAATGTGTTGGAGCCCAACCTCTTCTCCCTATCCCTGGCTCTTTCTGGCTTGACAAAGAGGTTTTATGTGCACGCCTGTGAACACCCTGCACTGCATGCCGCAAGTCCAAGCTCTTGTACTTCCTTCCCCAAACAACTGTTCCTTGGCCCAAGAGTGTACATATCTGTGGCATAGTCCATTCTAAGGACAGACCTGGGGAAGAGGCCTCTGCAGACCCTGAAATTGGGTTAGAAGTGTTTGGGCAAGAAATTTCAGAGTTCCATGTACCTGGAGTGTCATCTAGAAGCGGGGAGGTGTGTAGTACACCCCCTTGTTTACATAGACTTCCCTTCCTGTGGAAGCATATGGCCCAAGGAGGGCCAGAGTGGAACTCAGAGCAGAGGCCCACAGGATATAAATACAGTACTCAGAGAGAGGGATGAAGGGATGGTTCATTAAAGACCAATTCATACAGTGAGTAGTTTCTGAGTGTTTACTATGTAACAGTCTGTCTGCTAGAGATACGATTCTTTGTCCACTAGTAATGGAGAGGAGCATTTAAACAAATTGCAATGTGGTATCTGTGCTACGATGTGGAATTATATTCTTTTTTTTTTTTTTT